AGATGGGAACAGAGGTAAAGTTAGTACATTTCCTAGGATTTAGATCTACTGGAAATGTCTGGGTCCCCTGCAGGCCTCCAGCCACAAGATTGCATCACCTATCATAAAACTCCCTGGCTGTGCTTTTCTACTGAGTTCACATTTACAGTACTAATAATGCCTTCAGCACAAGTCATTTCCAGGGAATTAAGTCCTTGCAGTCAGTGGGTTAAATCCCCATGAAATAACCTGCAGCTGACCCAACTGGATTGACCTCAAGTATAGAATTTCAGATCAATAGCTGCAGTACTTGGATTCTGAGATATAAAACAATCCCTAGTGTTTTTGTTACCCCAATGAGTATTATCAGACAGGGGATCACTATGGCAATGGTGGGGTCTTATGATATTAATGGTTTTTTTGGTCCCAAAATAAATTATTTTAAAAAGTAAATGTCTTCTGTTCACTGTTTTTGGACTATGTGATAATAGTTTTCAAACATATAATAAAAAATAAAGTAATTCAGACAGCACCAGTGGTCATTAATTGTCTGTATTAAAAATAACACTTTCTCCTCAGATGCACGGTTTTCCAGTTGGATGCAAAATTCCTTTTGGTCCAACCACCTTTTATGTCTTCCATGAAAGGGTAACAGATCTCTCAATCTGGGGCCAAATAAAAATGTTAACACTTCACAAACTGGGCTTGGGGGTAATAAAAGAGAAAAGGGAATAATGTTATGACGACATGAACCATGACATCAACTGACATGGTGTTTTACTTGTGTGTAACCAAAAAAAACAGAAACCATTTTAAGTATGTACACCAACAGAGGGAATTAATTTGTTGCAGAGAATTGGTTACTCAGGTAATGAAGAAGCCAAGAACCAGATAAGGAAGAGTGAAGTAACCAAGAAAATAGACACACCAGGAAGCCACTACCTTCTCCAGGCTGGAAAAGCAAAGAAAGGAGGGTCTACATCACCAGAAGGGAGCTGAAACCAGAGGGGCCTATCTGGTCAAAGCTGAAGCTATGAAGGAAAAGGAGCCTCAGGCAGAAAAGCTACTTGAGGCAGATGTGTGGCAAGTCTGAGCAGGTGGGGGATAAACTTATAAACTGCTAGCCTTCATCTTCACTCTCTCTCTCTGCTATCTCCTGCCAGTGGCTTTGACTGGGTACAACAGCATCTCAAGAACACTTGCAAGTTTGGAGATTTCTCAAAGAACTTAAAACTGAGCTACCATTTGGCCCAGCAGTCTTATTACTGGCTATAGATCCAAAAGGAAACATACTGTTCTACCAAAAAGACCCAAGCACTTGCATGTTCATTGCAGCACTGTTCACCATAGTAAACATATGGAATCAACCTAGGTGCACATTGATTGTGGACTGGATAAAGAAAATGTGGTACATACACAGAATACTATGCAGCCATAAAAATATGAAATCATGTCCTGTGGAGCAACATGGATGCAGCTGGAGGGCATTATCCTAAGCAAATTAATACAAGGGCAGAAAACCAAATACCACATGTTCTCACTTATAAGTAGCTAAACACTGGGTACACATGGAATAAAGATGGCATCAATAGACACTGGGGACAACTAGATGGGAGAGGGAGGGAGACAGGCAAGAGCTGAAAAACTAATTGTTGGGTACTATGCTGTATACCTGCATGACGGCATTATTTGTACCCCAAGCCTCAGCATCATGCAGTATACCCAGGTAACCTGCACATGTACCTTCTTAATCTAAAATAAAAGTCGAAAAAGAAAAAAACTATTAACAAAAAGAACATCGGCAAAATATAGCTGGCTAGGACCAATCCTCTCATGGTACAGAGAATAAAAGGGAAGAGCTGGGATCTGAGGACAAAAGGCCTAAACCCAGCCTCTTTGTCCCCAATTCATCCTCTCCTATGAATTTACTTTACCTGGTTGGTCCCTTTTCGTATAGAGCCAAAAACATGTGAGTTGGATCTGTTGAGCTTCTCATCGTATAGTTCTACAAGAGGCTATGTGGACTTCACTAAAGCCCTGAGACTGGGTGGAAATGTCATAATTTTGAAAGATTTCTTAGTACAATGGGTACACATAGAAAAAAAGTATCTCCTCTGGGGTGGTTTTCTACCATTGCCAAAGAACTAGGTGGCTATTCTCTCACTGATTAAAAATATTTAAATATGAATTACAACCTACAGTTTATCCTAGGTTTAGAACACAAGGACTAGCTTCAGGTTTATATAAAAAATACATGGGTTAGTAAACATATGTCTCTGTTCAACATCATAACATGTATCTCAGCCCCATTACCCTATTGGTTGATCCCTCCATTTTACATATTAAAAACTAATGACATTCTACAATTCTATTGTGAGTTGAGGTAAGGTTTCTGAGTGTCTTAGTCCATTTGGCCTACTATAAAAAATGCTATAAACTTAGCAATTTATAAAGAACAGAAATTTCTTTCTCACTGTTCTGGAGTCTTGGAAGTATGAGACCAATTTGACAGCAGATGTAATGTCTTGGTGAGGGCCCACTCACTTCTAGTTGTGCCATCACATGGTGGGAGAAGATTCAGGTTTCTCTTGGGCCTTTTTTATAAGGCCACTAATTCCACTCATGAGGGCTCTGCTCTCATGACCTAGTCTCCAACCAAAGCCCTCATATCTCTCAATACCATCACCTTGGCGAACTTCAACATATACATATTGATGGAACACAAACTTTCAGACCCTAGCACTGAACTTGATTCTCCTTGCCTTAAACAATGAAGAAAGAAGTCTCTCTCTTCTCTTCCAAATTACATTCTCAAACAAAGCTCACATGGAGAAACACTGTTAGCACTGTTTGTGTACCCTCTTACATTTTTTTTTTTTTTTGAGATGGAGTTTCGCTCTTGTTACCCAGGTTGGAGTGCAATGGCGCAATCTCGGCTCACCGCAACCTCCACCTCCTGGGTTCAGGCAATTCTCCTGCCTCAGCCTCCCAAGTAGCTGGGATTACAGGCATGCGCCACCATGCCCAGCCAATTTTTTGTATTTGTAGTAGAGACGGGGTTTCACCATGTTGACCAGGATGGTCTCGATCTCTTAACCTCGTGATCCACGGATGTTCTTAGGCACTTTCTCATTCATTCTCACCATAACCCATTTTATAGGTGTTGGCCAAAACCCTTGCCAGAGTCATCAACCCTATTAGTCTGCTGCCTGCCTCAACTCTGACACATTGAGTTCTTGCCAGGCCTATATTTCTCAAATTCTGTCCAATTTGGATTTAGGTCTAGAATATCCCTGAGATGATCCTTCTCCTTAGAGAAATTCAAAGGACATACTCTTTTGTGGGTTCTGAAGGCCTGCTTTCCATATATCTCAAGCTAAGAGAATGACTTTCCTAATAATGTTAGAATCAGGAGAACTATGGAAAGCTTAAATGATGGATATCTTAATTATAAACCCCAAATAACACATACTGAAGTATGTTTCCAAATGAGATAATCCTCACTTGAAAGTGTGGAGATCATGATATGAAATTTGTCTGACTTCTTTAAATGTACGCAATCAGAGGTAGGTATCCAAACTCAAGTCCTTCCAATTTCCTACCAGAACGCTGTCCCAACACTGAGTTGCTTGGGTGTTCCAAGACAGAATATCAGAAAAAGCTGTTATGAAAATGCCTGCTTATTTATTTTTTCTTTATTTCTTCTTCTCAAATGAAGTTAACAGAGCCTGCTTAACAATGAAACACTGCTCTTCTGAAGAAGTAGAGGGCTTATGAAATGAAGTCATGACAAGGGATAAGAGCTCCACCCTCCACTCAGAACCCATAATTAGAGTACTGTTACTACATTCAACAACAGCAGCAGCAGCAGCAATAGCAACATCTGAAATTGTGAGCAGGCAACGAGAGAAAAACCTTGGGAGAAAAATTTCTTATTTTTCTTGATACCATTTTGCCAGAGCTTTAAACAAGGGTAAAGACTTTGTGAATAAAAAACAGAATTAAAGGGCACATTCAGGGGCTGTTTTCCAACACAGGACCCCCAGATCTCCACTTCCACTAATGGGAACACTGCACACCCAGCCATCCAAGATCAGACCTCCTGAGTACAGCATTTTTTTCTTGGAGATTTGTCTCTTTAGGACTTTAATTAAGCTCCTGCAAGGCTTGTAAGGTTTTTAATGTTACCTTTCTTCTTTCTTTCTTAAATCAGCTGGCTTTCCAGGAAACTTTTTCTAAGCTGTCACAGTTATAGTAAGCATACCTTAATATATTAAATTTAGAGATGTACCAGTAGTTGCTTCTCCAGGGATTAATAGCAGAAGTACCCTTGCATTTGGAAAAGATTTTCCCTGATTCATTCATTCATTCACTTTTACTTAAGTGTGTGTGTTTTGTGAATTAAAAAAAAGCAGAAAAGGAAGCTTCATGAAGTGTACAATGACTAATGGTCAAAATTCACTCTCAAAGTCACCAGTTTAACGGAAGAAACTTGCCATTACTTAATTTGATATTCACGCTGTTCATAAGCAAATTGTGGCTGACTGTTTACTAGTGTTGGTGGGTGAAGTGTGAGTGAGCCAAGAGAACATGATGCTTCAGTTGATCATTTGACACATATTTCATGAAATGTAATATTTAATTTACGTAGGTTTCTTTACAAGACCCCCTTGTATTCAAACTCATTGCAATTCTGAAAGTATAAAGGCAGAGACAAGGGGTGCACAAGGTGAACCCTTTAAAACAGATTCAATGAGACACTACTTTAAGGATGCTTCAATTGGCCACCCTAAATAGAATGTCATATTTTCTTTTAATTAAGAAAAAAAAAAACCTCGGATAATACTGCAGGGCCAGATATAAAACAAGCCATCAAAACACAAAAATCGAACGCAAGATATGGAGCATCAGGGATACTATCTGTTCCCCATGATTATTATTATAAGCATTCTTATTATTTACTTAATAATTCCAGGATGTCAGGTTATTCTGCCACCTGCCCCTTTCTGTGAGGTACTTACTGATCGCTTCCACAAACTGCTCAAAGAAACTGTAAGGGAAGAGTGGTTCAGGCAGCTCCCGGAAAAACATCTTCAGTGCTCCGGTGACAACGTGGATGTCCTCCCACTGGCTGTCGTCCAAATTCAGCTTCTCTTCTGGGAAAACACGAGGAGAAATGGAACAACTGGTTTTAATGAAACAATTACAAGACACTAATTATTATGTTAATGTTTGCCTACTATCATCAGCAACCGTTAACAGCCTTCTGTACCTAGAGGTTTGGTGCTGTGCATGTTTTTTTTTTCTCCCTTTTTCCGTAGGAAGGGAACATTTTCAATGGAATACCATCTGTAGGAATGCAGCTAACAAAAAAACAAGAGACACAAAGAGACAGTGCCATTGACACAGTATGTCAGATACATTTATTCCCATAATGCATCAGTATGAAAATTAGCATCACAGCTCAACATGATTCAAAGCTATTCGGTTTTGAGGCCGAGGGGCTAAGAGTTGCCAATGATGGCCGGCTCAAGGGACTGGCCTGAAGGCCTTGCTGAGCCAACAGGAGACATATGCTAAACATGGCAATAGAAAATGAGTTATTGCTTTACATGTGTTAGCCTTGCTATGTACAAGGGAATAATGGGTAACACTTTTTCCCTTTTTTTTTCCTGAATATAAAGTCAGCAAGGAATAGAATACTGAGTGAGAAAGGATATTAATTCTTTCTTACTGCTTCAAAAATATCTTTTTTTTAGTTTTCATCTCAGTGAGGAAAATATGCCCAGCAACAATATTAGACAGACCCCTGTTGGCCTACGTAGGCTATGCAAAGCTGTCAAAAATGATAACACACTAAAGACAAACCACAAGCGCTTACCAACTCTTTTTAGAAACAACAGAAATATTTGCAAGGGAAGCTTAAGTGAATGGAGATGTTGAAATATTAGGGAAAGTAAATGCCGAAATGAAGGTTTTAGTAGAAATAAAGTATGCTAGGCAATTATTTTAGTCCTTTTCACCCTTAATATGAAAGTCTGGAATTAGTCTCACCCAAGAAGTGGATGCATTCATGTCTGAAAGGGACATCTTGATATAAAATGAACAGGAAGCAAGGTACAAAGGCACTGCTGTCGAGTTAGACGATTTGTCTTTCTAAACGTGCAACATGAAAAAGGTTTTGGATTCTGAGCTTCATAAAAAACTAATCATTTCAGACAATCTGGGGGTTAACTGAAAAGCTGAGAATCCTGGCAAGCACCAAGGTATTTGGTCAACTGGAATTTTGTTTCTTTACTGATGTCTTGGGCTCGCATTCACATGTCCCTTGGATGTCAGTTTTATGAATGCAGAGAAGCATTTTGCACCAAAAATGTATGAAAAGCTGAGAATTGTCACTGTAGGGATTCTCTGCATGGGGTGTTTTGCTAATAATGTTCATGTCCTTTAAAAATATTAGCCCAAACCTTTAGCAGATCTTTTTAAAAAAATAATAAATGAATGATCATTTCTAGGGCTTATTTATAGTAAGTGGTGCTCCTGCTCAACAGTATGTTTGCAAAGAGAAGAAATGAAGGTGAATCTGTTTATTTCAGATGACTAATCTTCCCTTTTAGTCTTCATTTCTACCTCAATCATAACACAATAATATGATCCACAACAAAATCAGCAGAGGAGACCTTCTTGCTGCCCTGCAATCATTTTTGATTGATTGTATTTCAACAATTAGTCTTTTATTTGGCTACACACTATTGAAATAGGCCGACAGCATCTTAGCAGGCCAGCTTTAAACAGTCAACTGTTAACAATAACATCAAAAAGGGAGACCTGATGGGGTTTACTGTCACTTTAAAGAACGGGGTTTTCACATTGTTGAAATCTGTCAGATATTTTGAAATGTCCCTCTCACTATGGTGCCACACCCCCTGCGTGCCCTTATAATAAAATTGGTTTTACTCCTGATTAAATCATTTTCTCCCTACCCACTACCATACTTCTCATAATGGACCTGTGTGCTCTACAGCTGGTGTTCTTCCCATGGTACCAATTCTTACTTTATCTTTTAAGCACTTTGCTGCTAAGATCTCATGCAGAGTGCTTATGTTTTGTTAAGAGCTTCATTCTTAGAGAAATAGCTTAACACATGTTCTAAAAATGTTGTACAACTTATTGCTTAAAACACATTTAGAAAATGTATAAGTATTGTAGCTTTGGCACTGAACTTTAAGTGGAATCCTACACCTACACACACACACACACACACACACACACATGCACACACGCATGCACACACACACACACACCTATCCCTACCAAAAATCTATCAGAAAATCCAACACGAAATTCCATTTTGGTGCATAAGTTTGAGATTGCTAAAGGAAAGTGTTCATCAGGTAAAAAAAAGAATGATTTTATCTTGAACAAGAAAATGACACCAACAACAACAGTAACAAATAATGGCTTAACCAAAGGAAAACAGCATTGAGATTGGTCACCTCCACATTAATATCACTTAATTCAACTGAACGTGACAACGGACTGTATCTATATATAAAGAAAATTTACCAATAGACACCAATTTACCAATAGATATTTTCTACTTAAAATACCACATAATATTAACTGCATCACTTAAAGCAACATTCTCCTATGTAGTCTTCATTTAAATAAATAATAATTTGTAGCCCTTCAAGAAGTATCTTAAACAGGCAATATGGCAAATAGTTGGAGTATTTTGAAATATAATACTAATTTTTATATTAAGTTTTCATAATCAACCAAGGTTAAGATCCCTTGTAAAGAAGATGACGTTATGGCAAATTTTGCAAGGACACTGAAGTTTATCTAAACATAAAATTAAGCCCATATAGTATGCCTTCTTATGAAGCCAACAGGTTCTGAAGATGAAATAACCATAACCCTATCCCAGTGTTAACAGGCATTATTGCAAATGAAATTGCATTATTTGATAAGCATTTTTTAACTAGATTCTACACAGTGATGATGTCATACTTTTCCCTTTTCTGATAGAGTAGGGTTTCTCAAAAGCACCACACTATTGACATTTGGGACTGGAAAATTATTTGTGGTGGGGGCTGTCTTGTACATTCTAGGTTGCTTAGCAGTATCCTTGACCTTAATTTATTAGATGCCAGTAGCACCTCCCAGTGAGGAATGATAAAAATTGTGTCTAGAGATTGTCACGTATCTCCCATGGTGTAAAGTTATTCTTGGTTAAGAACCATTATAATTAAGTCCATAAGTGTCTATAGAAGCTACTCAACAAATATATATGCAGTTTACCTCAGGTGGGTAGGGAACTAGAAAATTAGATATACACATATTGATATTTCTTTCATATGAACTTAAGAGTTGGTAATTATTCTTAATAAAATCATAACTTTTTATAAAACAAAATCCATATGAACACATTCAGGGTACTTTGCAACAAAAGCAATAACCCTCAATTACTTAGAGTTTACACTGTAATAGGGACTGTGCAGTGCACTCTACATTCATTAATTAATTTAATGTTTGCAGCAAGATGAGGAAGATGCTGTTATTAGTTATCATCATATCTGTTTCACAGATAGAGAAATGAGGCATAGGTAGATTAAACAATTTTCCCTCGGTTGCCAAGTGTTGAAACCAGGGTAAGGAGCCAGTAAGCACCTACTATGTTTAAAATCACTGTGTTCAGACTTAATCTTGGCTGGCAGAAGCAGAAAGGGAAAAGGCAAATAAATAGTAATTGCAAATGGTAGATTATTATGTCAAAGATTGTAATTTTTAATTTTATCCTTAAATGTCTTACTTGAGGCTATGCTTTTACCTGTAAGCTGACTCTCATTTTTGGTAATTACTCACTTGTAGAAGGCACAGATTCTTATATAAACAGACATAAAACAAATTGGTAATAAAAAACTGCATTAGGAAATGGGCAAATTGATATGTAGCAATGGAGCGAAGAGGAAATATGATAGATTAGGAAAAGAGACCATACAAAACACACCTTCCAGCTGGGATTTACCACTAATTCATTGTATATCTATTTGTTTATTTATTTATTTGCAAAATGAAGATAGAAGGGTAATTGTTGCTATCAAATGGCAAAATGTATCTGAACATTTTGAAAGCATAAGGCAACAAATATATACACAATGTCACCAGAATGGGGCAGGTGAATAAAGGCCAAAACAGTAAAACAAGAAAGAACTAAGGCAATTGAAACATTCAGCAAATATTGTAAACTAGCCTGGTTGTTTTAGAGGATTTATCTCAGTGTAATGCAGCTTCTCATATGGGATCAACAAAAACTACACTGCTATAAAGAACTACCTGGGCTGGGTAATTTACAAAGAAAAGAGGTTTAATTGGCTTATGGTTCCACTGGCTGTACAGGAAGCACAGCTGGGGAGGCCTCGGGAAACTTCCAATCGTGGCAGAAGGTGAAGGGGAAGCAAGCACATCTTCACGTGGCCAGCAGCAGAGAGAGTGAAGAGGAAAGGGCTATACACTTTTAAACAACCAGATGTTGTGAGAACCTACTCGCTATCAGGAGAACAGCAAGAGGGATGTCTGTCTCCATGATCCAATCACCAGGTCCCTCCCCCAACATTGGGGATTACTATTCAACATGATGTCCATCTGGGTGGGGACACAAAGCCAAACCATATCCACATGCTGTAGTCCAATCCTAGGAAGAAGTCTGGTTGAATCATGATATCTCACAATCCTTATAATCTGTGCTGGTTTCTCCTGGCCCTCTAATTAGGTTATCTTAAATTCATTTTGGTTATGGTTTTGCCTTAAAGCATGTAAACAGAATTAAAGATAGGTTAAGCTCCACAGTGCAAATACCATGTGACTTTTATGAGATCACACACACACACACACACACAAACCTAAATGACGTACCCAGACAAGGCTATCCTGAAATGCTCGTCCTTGAAGAGTCTTTAGGGTACTTTTTAAAGTAAAAACTTATCTAATATGAAGATTTACAAAATTGTATGTGAAAGAAAAAATTTGACAGTAGCTATTAGGAACAATTTTTCTTAAAAATAAGAACTGAAAGATGATCTTTGATAGCCATAGTAGGTCAAAGGTAGTTTCCAAGGAAAAAAAAAGGAGCATTTAAATATCATTAAGTGTT